TCAGTATGAAAGCAGTATATATGTATCCTTTTTTTCTTAGGTAAGTTCAACTGGCCTATATTTCCTGTTTTGATTTTATCGGCTTAATTGTGTCCATTTAACTACTTTGAGCAACATGTCTTTGCAAGTGAAACAATAACTATGACACTTGCTTAGTTTAGTGTTCTTGGTTGTCGTATAATTCAGTTTAGTTGAAAGAATTATGATATACTTAAGTATAGTGCTTGAAGCCTGTAACGAAACAGATCAGTTTAGTAAGTAGAGTTGCCTGTTTCCAATGTATATACGGATTCAGACTAGTCTGATTAAAAATAGGAAAAAACGTGCCTTCGATGCTGTTGCTGTCATACATTATAAGATAACGATAAGTATGTTTGGTGTTTATTTCTAAACTGTACATCTATCACTGACCATATTTCATGATCACTGTCATTAAACAATTTCCCCAGCAATAACATCGGTAGCAAGTTAGCTAAGCGTCTGAGCTTTTAGTTGCCCGCAAAACAGCAGTATACAGTCTTAGAAGATGAGGTTTTTGTGTCTCCATTAAATGCAGCTGGCTGTGGACAAATGTTAAGAATCTTTTTGACAACTGGGACTTTTAGTTTATCAGACACTTACTCTGCTTGTATGTTTTCCTGTCAAACTAGACGCAGATGCATGGGAATACTTAAATGGGAGCAAAATAATAACAACATTGCAATACGGTACTAAGCCCATGTTATGCTTTGCGCAAGTAATAGTAGCTGACCTTATCTAATATTGATGAACTCAAGGTAAATCACAACTGCATAAATTCTTTGCTAAAACACATGTGATTTGGTTATTTATATATTCCACATTTCTGACTAAATTCATCAATATTTTTTCATTTAGAATGCAACAGTAGTGAGCCTTCACAGACATTAAAAACTGTTTCGCCCTTGGAACTATGGCCCTATGGAACTGTTTACGGGAGATCCAACAAACAGCAGATCATAGAAAGGATGCTGGACTTCCATTTTAGTCTCACAACCACTTCCGGTATTTTGTGACTTCTTTTACTCTTTCGTTTGGAAAAAAACAACAAAAACTGCAGCTCAACATTACCAATACAACTTTTAAACGGGAACTTGGTTTAAACCTTTGTTTGATATTCGATTCTTAATGAAAGTTCTTGAATAAATTTTTGAATCTAATGCTACTTTGTTTTATCTACATAATCGTTGCAAGAAACTTGTGATAAGCGAGCCTCTCAGCACCTAGTTCATGTGTTCAAATGGTTGTGGACTGAATAGAAGAAGCTTTCGCTTAACAGGCTTCCGTGCCTACTAGCAGGGGATCACCAATACCTCAAGGCAGGAAACTAGGCATGTTAACAATAAAAGAGGAAAAAGAAATCGGCAAATCATAGTATGATACTATACTTAGTCCTTAAGAATAAATCCAGTTGCCTCTTAAAGGACTCCTGGGAAGTCGCTTGGACTAGCTCGGCCGGCAGGAAATTCCAGCATTCGACAACTCTTAAAGGATAGAAGTTGTGCCTACAGTCCATTCTGCTATGTTGTGTCTCTAGTTTCTGGGTGTTACCCCATAGGTTAGTGTTGGAACTAAGCTTAATTAGGTTATTTAGGGGATGTCCAGGAGTGTTAAGGTTATTGTAAGCCATTAGGTCACCTCTAAGACGTCTATACTCTAATGAGTGGAGGTTAAGTGATTGCAGGCGCTCTTCATAAGGTGATTTGGTGGATATCTTCGCCATTTCCTTGGGAGACCTACAGACTCTGGTCCTCTCATAGCTTATTCTAACCACCATGGATTGTCACGCCAGCTGATGGATGGACACGCGTTACACATCCTAACCGTACCTGCTTCTTATCTTATAGCTTCTAATTCAAATGCCATATGACAAGCAAGCAATGCCCCTACCCGCACTAATGCAACACTAGTAACTCAAATGCACCCCGTATGGTATCTTACACTGGTTTACGCACTCGCTTAGCTCTTTAGTGAAAATCCCATGAACCCCCCTACCTCCATCAAAACAAATAGGTTGATGGGGGGGGGTTGATTATGAATACAGTGGTCTTGGGTGCTGTTAGAGGTATGAGGGCGGTTATCATTTCCCGGTTGCCCACACCGTGGAAGGGTTCTTCTGGAGGTACCTGAAAAAGAAATTGGATTAGAAGTGGTCTCAGTGACCTGAGAGCGTGACCGCAGTGCCCAAGGGACAACTGCTTGAGGCCGGTCGCGCACGGCCTTTTCGTAGGAGGTTTTTGACGTGTTAGCTCCGTTCTTCAAAGGGCCTTACCTCCGGAGACGGAAATCCGTGAGGTAAGGTGAGGTGTGCATTTTTAGGGTCGACCTTTTCTAACCCCACCCCTCCTTGTGGGAAGGCAGCATCGCTGTCATGCTGGTTGTCTGAAGGAAACACCTTACTGCTGTCACACCTCTGTACAGTCAGCAGTACGACTTCGCCTTCGGACCTTGGGTTTGTTGCTTTTAGTCTTACCGCTCTTCAACCGACCTGTCTGACATGGTAGGACCTTGAGGAACGGTTGTTCCAGCCAGTATAGCTCGGTTGCTTCATCACGATAGGCAAGCCCGACCACCACGTCAAGGTAGCAACAACGGTCGGGGCAAAACAAATAAGTCTGTATTTGCAGCATATAGCAATTTTATTATTCAAAAGTAAGATATAACGGTTAGAATTAGAGTAAAATGGCAGTATACAACAGATACACGTGGCACATGTCTTCATCGATTAACTGAAATAGAGAATACGGATATTAGCTTAAAAGGCTTATTTAGAAAGACTAGTGTCTAATTTGAACTTACTGCGTGAGAAAGTTATACTGGAACTACGAATAATGTAGGAATCTAGTCTCCCAGGGCGTGCGAAGCACTCAGACTGTAAGACAGTTGTCCAAAAATAATTCGAATATGAAGGTGAAAATTTGCAGGTACTTTTCATCATAAGGGTGAACATATTAGGTACCAGTTGACATCATACCGTAAGAAAACACAAATTTGCGAGTGGTGAAATATAATCTATAAAAAAGTGAGCTTAATAACAGTTAATTACCTTTTTACTCCCTGATCATGACCCTTCGGCTTCCTTTTATGGCCAAAACAGCAAACATACACAAGACACTGGTAGCAGATTTCCGGCTTTTCAATGTTAAGCTTGCTTTAACGCACTGAGTAATGGGTACAACCCCTCTGTTACTGTTATATGGCATATTTTTCATAACAAACCCTCTGCAATAGATTGGTAGCATCTGTGACTTCATCTATAATTGTCGGAAGTCTGGGTCCTTTCGAAATCAGTACCGATATACCCTACTGCTGGGCACTCTGTATTAGTTTGACTCGTTGGTGGGAGAGTGTTGTCCATAATACTGAAGAAAATTAAAAACCGCAGATTGTTTCCTTTCATTTTGCCGATAAAATCCTAAAGGACAGCTAGGAACGAACATGCGAACAGTTAGAGTCACAGGCGGCAGCAACAATTATTTTAGCTAAATGAAAACGAACTTCGGCTTCGGATATCTAGAAAACAATGTAAAACATAACCGACTGTCGTTTGAAAACGTAAGGTCTTATGTTAGTACTAGCCAGCTTAGCTGAATAAATACAGTGACTTCATTAGCAGCAGGTAAAACCCAGAAAACAAAGCAAAATCAGGAAAAACTTTGCTCCAACGTTCAGAGTATTACACTAACTTCTGGATTTAAGCACACTGAAACATCAAATTCTGTAGCTACACAAAAGAAATAGCGGAAAAAACACAGAACGAAGAAAGCCGGCGGACATTTTATAACACAAGACTAGCCAGATTGCCTGAAGAAATACATTGACTTGAGTAGAAGCAGCAAAAACCCAGAAAACATCGCTGATTCGAAATAAACTTCACACCAACATATAGAACATTACACTAAACGCGGCATTTTAGCACACTGAGACATTAAATTACATAGCTACACAAAAGAATTAGCTGAAAGAAGCACAGAACGAAGAAAGCCGACCGCCATTGCTTACAAAGATGGCGCATGCAGTAATTCCCGCCTCATTCTGATTGGTTGCTAAGCTGAAGGGCACATTTACGAAATTGAGTTGCGTTTAATTGCAGCCAGACCGAGTAGTAAGCTGAGGCAAAACCACAGTTAACTATTAAATTGAGTGAAACTCGAAAAAAAGTAATCTATCGAACGTATATCACAGAATAGATTATTTCGATCAGAAATGGTACTTCTGATGCGTAGGAACACAGCAAAAGTTTGATAAGTGCAAATCACGTTGAGACTAAACTTCCTGTTCGAAAGACGCGCTGTCAAAAACATTGCCGAGCATTTAAATGTTTTGACGAGATTTTCAAGTTTTATCCACTACCTACGTAAGAAAACGCTAAGACTACTCTATCCAAGCAGCTGGTCAATATCTTATCAATGATAATTACTCAATTGAACGTATTCAGCGTTTGGGGACAATATTAGTGAAAGGCATTTCTAAACTCCTTTAAGATCAGCGCTTAAAACGCCTAAACCTTTCCCCCTCATCGTATCGTAGAGCATGAGAAGACCTTATTTTAGCGTTCAGTATTTTTAATTACGACTTGTGTGTTAATATATCTCATCTTCTTGCTCCTTTCAGCATTATTAATCTTCGAGGTCATAAACTCAGATTAGTATTCCGTCTTCCTCATTGAGTGGTCACTGACTATCATATCTTACCCAAACAAGTGGTATAGGCCTCTTAATTGAACATTTTCAAGAGAAGCTGGATCTTTATTTAAAAAAAACTGTAAGAATTATTACAGGCCCACCAACATACTACTCTTATTACCGAAGACTGTAGATGGGAGTTGAATGGGAGAAATTCCCTCTATTTATACCCACCTTAACAAAGGTGTCCAAGCAATTCTTTGGTTATTTCTGCTTGAATATAAGGTATGAATGGTGTTGCTTTTAAATGATTTTAAGGACAACGGAAATCATTCATGTTTCTAGCGCTTTATTCATCCTCAAGGTTGTGAGCCGACATTTTGGTTTCTATTGTTATTGGTTTTTTGTTTTATATAAAGGCTCTGAACGTTAACATTTTATTTCTGTCTAAATTTCGTCCCTTAATCTACTTTCCAGGATTTGTTTGGGGTGAATATCAGGCTTTCGTCAAACATTAAACACTAGATTCACATCATAAAATGGCATCGGGTATTGCTAGGTCAAAGCTGATGGTAAGTTATATTATTTTATCTACCTGTACTGTCTAAGAATTTCGCTTTCAGGTGCCAATGGAACCCTGTGTCACTCATATATCGTTCTGAGTGTTCCTCCGCAAAATTTAGTCTTTCTGATTACAAGTCTTTTAAGTTAGATTCCACGCCAGCAAATGAAACTGAATGCAGTCGTGATGATGCACTTAGATACCTCGAAAGTCTTCACCGTATTCGTAGAATGGAAACGGCACTAGGTAACATGTATAAAGAAAAGCTCATTCGCGGTTTCTGTCATCTATACTCGGGTCAGGTTAGTTTTAATTTTAATCGTACCTCAATGTTTCTGCTCCTTGGTTCCTCTCATTATTCTTTGAATGGATTTACATACTTCATGGCTTGCTTGGTGAGACACCTTGACGTTTAAGACGTTCTTCATTCCTTGTACATACGGAGTGAAATAAATGTGTCGGTATTTATCACATCTTTTCGATGGGGTCTTCGAAAGGCTGCTGTGAATAGCCTTTTTAAATCTTGGTGATTGGGTATATCTTTCGTAACTTACAGATCAATCATTAGTCGTGTTATTGCTGTGATTCTTATCTTGCTTATAGAATATTTTCAAAAACAAAGAAGTGGTTGTTCATACACATACCTACTGCTATCTCTTTTGATTGTAAGGTGATTTCTAACCATAATATTGTGCGAATCAAATTTCTACATACGTTTGCAGTTTTCAATTATATTTTTAGTGTTTTTTCCTTCTTCGAATTCCTTTATTACGTCTGAGTGATTTCCAAATTGAAAATGTAGGGTTTTATGTAACGAAATTACCCAGTCAGTCAGTCAGCTACAATGTAGGGCCAGGCACATATATGTATCGGTTCAAGTTGCCATACCTCATTAACACAACAAGATGGACACCGGATTCATAAAAGTAGTTAATTCAGAGGTGGTAATATATAAAAGAAAGATTGCAATAAGGATATAGTATAGGAAGAAAGAATTAGTTCATAGAAAGAAGTTGAGGCATTAAAAACCAAACGTCACTATTAATGTTGAAAAGAGCAGGCAACAGAATAGTTATGGTAAAAGTATAATTTCTCCAAAATTTAACGTTAAGTCTGGCATTCATCAAGTGATTAGGGTAGCTCCATCGACTCAAACAGATGTATTAAATTTTTTTATTGATTTCAGAGAATTTTTTCACTTATTCCTTTCTTAACCTACATCATTCTAGTCCATTTCAAGTTTACCCAGGTTGGATATTCTTCATGACTGATACACGGTCACCTGACTCCATTCACTTGTGTATATTTAAAGCTCAATCAGTCATTTTAAACTTAAAGCTAATATATGTGATGTAAACGTACTTTTCATTGACATTGGAAATATATTGCACTAAAAGATAAAGGTTTCTTCAGAATATTGTGTTACTGTTTTACTCTGCGAAATGAGTTTTTCGAAGAATGGAGTTTGTCAGTAATCATGCGTTAAAAGATTATCCGCAAACTCGAAACAAACTTACACATTACACAGACTTACTGGGGGTGATTTCTTCTACTATGGGATTTACCCTCATATATCTATTTTTGTCCGTACATACATCATTTATTTGTGAAAACATCTTGTGCAGTATAATTAAATAGTCTTTTAGGTGAATTGAATGCATACTGGGCAGTGGTAATTTATCTCTTCAAATTTCGAATAAATTGAGCATTGGGTTGATTGTTATAAATAAAAATAATATATTTGTAATATCCCAATGAGTAGAAAATTGGATTTTCTGACGTTTCGTGGCTTAGTGTAAGTCACTTCTTCAGAGAATAAATAACCAAATTAAAATTAATCCAAGTTTTGATTGATCAAATATTATTCTTGCATTGTTCCGTTGTACTATTTAAACTTGGATTAATTTTAATTTGGTTATTTATTCTCTGAAGAAGTGACTTACACTAAGCCACGAAACGTCAGAAAATCCAATTTTCTACTCATTGGGATATTACAAATATATTATTTTTATTTATCTCTTCAAATGTTTAATTTATAGGTAAGATATACACTTATATGACCTAAACGGGTGTGCTCCATCAAGTGAACTCAAAGGGAAGCTTATAGGTATGACCGTTATCACTCAAACCTCAGCATACAAACTTGTGAATTGAGAATGTGAACTTTTTTCTTTTGCTTAGAAATATAAAGGCTCTTATTTGTTTTCAGTCTTTCTTTTGGCAAGTAGTTATGTCTGGTTTTCTCACTTAATCTTTAGGAAGCAGTTGCAGTTGGTATTGAGGCTGCTTTACAGCCAGGCGATACAATTATCACTGCTTATCGCTGCCACGGCTTTACAATGACTCGCGGTGTTCCTGTCCATAATATAGTTGCAGAACTCGCAGGAAGGAGGACTGGATGCACAAAAGGGTTAGGGGGCAGTATGCATCTTTACGCAAAAGATTTCTATGGTGGTAATGGCATCGTTGGAGCTCAGGTATATTTGTTTGTTTTCCGTACAATACTTTGAATTTATGATTTTAATTAGAGATTCTTCATATATCTTTTTATGTTTGATGTATGTGACCGGCTAATCTTCAGTCATTATCATACATCTCAACCCTTATTTTCAGAATAAATGTTTTACGCTATGCATGTGTGCTACTTCTTGTTGTCTTTGTATATTGATTGCATCAATTATTACCAGTATTAGGACTTAAACTGTTTCCTGAATCATTGCTTGATATAATGACAGTAAACTTGTCTTTACATCACGGGTACACAGTTGTTTAGACTAAGGCAATAGCTTATAAATTTAGGTTACACTTTAACTGACGAAACCTTACACCAATCCTTCTTTAGAAGTCAGATCAGGTACCCCGGCAGTATTCCAACTCTTACACATATCGAATGATTTATGTGTCGCATATGTATTTGATACCTTCTTGCACCAATGTTTATGTAAATAGATAAGGAATCTGAGTTATATATATCTTCCCAGTAAAGTTAGTTTGTACACCATATTGATATTGTTTTATGATATGTGTTTGACAGGCCCCATTGCAAACGGAAATTTATTTCGACCACTACTAAGTCCGTAACAAAAATCTTATTAGGTAAACTTATCTTGTCACTAGTAATGTATATGTAAAGAAACTAAAAAATCAGGTCAGTGTGATGACTAAGTTTCTTAAGCTAAGATATTTGTTGGATAGTCACTTCAAAAGTTTCTCTGAAGCTTAGACGTTTCGGGATGTCTAGTTGCGCTTCCATCAGAAGCACACCTTCCTAGGTGCCAGTAACTCACTGTCTGGAGATTGTTTAGTCTGTCACCTGAGTTCTTTTCGTGTACTTCATAGTTAACGAAACTTTTCCACCGATAGTTCATTTTCTGTCTTCCTTGATTTTGTGACCTTATCCTGGTAGTAATGTATGTAAAACATATTTTATGGATAGAGTCATTTGGTTTTGAGTACCAAGTCTGGTCATAAGAATTTCTCAACATTTTGTGGTTACAGTATCATAGCTGATAGGTTTATCTATTATTTCGAAGTTTTCTTGTAGTTATTATCAATTAGCAACGTATATTTGTATTCTCTTTCTGCCTTCCAGGTTCCTTTAGGTGTCGGAATAGCATTACGTATGAAACATCGTGGGGAAAAGTTTGTCTCTGTAACTCTTTATGGAGATGGTGCGGCTAACCAGGGACAGGTGTTTGAAGCCTTCAATATAGCGAAGTTATGGAATCTTCCTGTGATTTTTATTTGTGAAAACAATAAATATGGTATGGGTACATCTGTGCAGCGTTCATCAGCAAATACTAATTACTACACTCGTGGAGATTACATTCCTGGATTGTGGGTTCGTCTTCATTTGTTTCCAAGAAATGATTACATAGTCTTCTTTTTTATTTATTTAATAGTATCTGTTCTTTGTTTAGGTATAACAATAACGTAATTTCCATTCTTTTGTATTTTATTGTTATAGTACTAATTTTAAGTTTTCATTCCGTTTAGTTCAATCTTCTCACGGTACTAATGTTGTTAACATAGCCTAGTTGTTCATACTATAAAGTTTCCACAGTTAAAGTATTTGAGATCCATCTCTGCAAAACTACTTCTAAGAACTCATAATATGATATGTCACGACACACTTGATAAACCATCAATTTTGTGTTCTCGGTCTATTTAATCAGACAGTTAATCTACTTACAAGTTTTTTTTCGTTTGCCAGGTTGATGGTATGGATATACTTACTGTTAGAGAAGCCACACGTTTCGCTGCTGATTGGTGTCGTTCTGACAAAGGACCAATACTGTTAGAAACAGAGACTTATCGTTACCATGGTCATAGTATGAGCGACCCAGGCACTAGTTATCGTACACGTGAAGAAGTTCAGTCGATGAGGCGTGGACGAGATCCTATCGCTTTATTTCAGAAGAGCATTGTGGACAATGGGCTATGTACACAGGATGAAGTTAAGGTAAAGTAGTTTTGTGAAAAACATCTCAAGTATTTACAAATTTATATGGTCTTAAGATTTTCGAAAGTTTTTTTACTTGATACAAGGTTATGTAGGCCCTTTATTTAGAAATCTTTGCTTAAAATTAAATTGAACATGACATTATTTAAGTGATCAGTGATGTAGTATGATTGTTATGATTAGAGCACATCGTATGTGATGTCACTGGTTTTGGTAGTTCGTACTTTTCTGTTTGTTAAAAATGTAACATTTATACTTCAAGAGCATCGGATTACATCACATAAACATACTAGAACATTGTTGTAAATGAAGGTGATATTTATTTGCAGTCTTCCTGAGTAGGACTTTTGACTCGACTATTGGGGTCATTTGTTCTGTTTGAGTCCTTGCAAATGTGTTCTTCCAAATTAGTCTACCAACTTTACCTAGTCAGTTAGTTCTGTCAGTAGTCAATATATAGCAAAATGTTGAAAAATGCCACTAGCACTGGTTTCGCAAGTAAGTTTCATTTACTGAATATTAATCTTAGGCATGTACATGGTGATATAACCAGATGTAAGTTGCGTTGTGAAGCTAGTGACAATTATTTTTGAAGGTATCAATACCAAGGTTTGATTTGATAATTTCGAATAAATTGAGCACTGTGTAGATTGTTATAAATAAATAATATATTTGTAATATCCCGATGAGTAGAAAAACTAGATTTTCTGACGTTTCGTGACTTAGTGTAAGCCACTTCTTCAGAGAATAAATAACCAAATTAAAATTAATCCAAGTTTAAATAGTACAACGGAACAACACGAATATTATATGATCAACCAAAAAACAGGTTTTTTGATATACTGGATGTCTTACTATCGGATACACCATTTACAGATATTACTGTAAGGTAGTATAACAGTCTTGTTTGTAAAATGACATTTTAAACTTCTAGTCTGAGAAGAGTGGTTTTTCTCCTTAACAGTTTATGCTTGTAACACGGTCTTGAAAAATATATCTTGCTTATATATGATGAATCCGCCTATTATGTAATATTGGGTAAAAGTGGTAAACGTGCTAATACAAACATTCATCAGCTAAGGTGGTTGGAACATGACATTTTTCTAACGTCTATCAAGAAGAAAAGTTAAGAGATTTTAGGAGGTAAACCAGGAAATTACACTGGTCCGCATTGTAGTTGATCATTTGCTTCTATTGTGTAAGATAATGCAGATTCCTTAGTTGGGATCTTCAGTTTAGTCGTAATTGATGATTGTTGACCTTTAGTAATATGCCTCAAAATCGGTTGCAGTTGTGCATTCAATTGTTCTTTTTCTCTGAAAATGTAAGCTAAGTGTTATTCAGAAATTTTCAATCCCACGGTTTCACATATTACTCTAAAATTATTGTCTCTGTATTTAGTTCTCGTCTACTTTTTATATCAGTATTTCACCCTCTGTGGTTGTCATCTTATTAACTTCCTCTCTTTGCCAATTGATGTATGTCGGCTCCTGCTTTGTCTTCAACTTACGTTCCATAGATGACTAAGTAAGAATCCACTTATTAATTCTTTCTCATTTTTTATAACAGAAGTAGTCTTTAATCGGCGTTATGTTTACTGTATTCTATTTTTTAATTCGTTTGTAGGAGATCGAAAAAAGGGTTCGAACTGAAGTAGATAAAGAAGTAGAAAGGGCGATGAGCGACTCAGAACCACCACTAGAGATGATGTTTGGAAATATTTACCATGGGATACCTCCAAACTACAAGATTCGAGGTTGTGATTTGAAAACTTGGGGTTCACCATTTGTCACTAAGTAGCGAGATAGCTTTACGTGTTCTGAAGTTTGAAAAAGCTGGTCAGCATATATTATTTAATTTATTAGTCAGGCTTTTAGTATTTTCTAAGGTACGAAGAATCACAAATATTTAATCCCTTCATGATACAGCCTGTATACGTATGAATAATTTTGTAATTTATATCGTCTGAAATAAAATCTTATACTATAATAATGATTTCATGTTTTTTTTGTTATTGTTATTAAATTATTGCAGTGTATATAATCCCGAAATTTAGCAAATCTATGAAAGGTATAAACTTACATAACTTCCTCTTACAATAATACTATGTGGTAAAATATAGTTACGTTGGGTTTTTGATTTGGGATCCGGTGCGTATTACTTTTTTAACAACATCTACATACATGCTGTACACGGAGTGATGGTTAAATTGTGTTTTTTATTACTTATTTAAGCCTACCCCCCCACCGACGAGAAATCTGTAGTCAAATTTGTCACGGGCTCTGCTTTCCAGTCTCCAATAAGTGGTATTCATGGTCCTGACGTCTGCTTTCGATTCCCTGCGTCACGTGTTCTTCAGTTTGTCTCTTTCCCTTTGCTCATGAGCATCCCAAGTTAGGTCTCGCTTTGTGATCCAGTTTGGGAGTTTCCGATAAGTTCAACATATCCACCCACAAAGTTTTTCCTAATTTCGATCTCAAATGATAAATTCTCTGTTCACTGCCACAGTACGTCATGGCTATTGGTCTCTGGATACTAGATCTGAATTTTGTTGCGTATATAGATGTCCATAAATACCTGTACATTTTTGATGGTTATGGTGGCCCTCTGAGTCTCAGCTCCATACGACAGAATTGTTTCAACATTTGTGTTAAAAATTCTAACCTGTATTGTGTGACAAATTTTTCGAGTCGCAGATAATATTTTTTTCAGGAGTGCTGTCTCTGCTTTGCCAATTCGTGCCTTAAAGTCTCAGATCCACCTTTCTTATCGATGTTTCTATCCAAGTATAAAAAACATTGTACCTCTTCCAGAGCTGCACATTTAATTGTAATTTCGTTGGCACTCAATGTATTGCGCCTCAGGATCTTGATTTTCCGCTTGTGACTGTTGAGGTTTATTCCTATGAAAGCTGCTGCTGCACTGCCTGTCTTGACCTGAACTTGTTGTTGTGTCTGCGATAACAGGGTTAATTCATTTGCAAAGTGTGTCCATTGTATTTCTTGAGATATAGGAGAGTTCATAACCCAGTCAACAGCTGGCATAAGGAGAAAATTCGAGAGCGAACAGCCTTATGTCACACTAGTCTTCACGTGAGATGTATCTTAGACCTGCTCTCCATGCACTGCCTTGCAACTCAGTCCTTCGTAGAAATTCTGCATGATCATGATAGTCTTCTCACATACTTCATAGTGTTGAGGAGATGCCACAGTGCTTTTTTATCCACACTGTCAAATGCTTTCTCATAACCAGGGAAGTCAATGGATAGAGGTGAGTTTCAGTTAATGGTTCAACAGTGATCGGTAGAGTTGCACTTTGGCCTTCACATGATCGATCACTACGAAACTAGTGTCTTATTTCGAAATCGGGCGTCTACTGAGTCTTTCATTTGGTTGAGCAACACTGTTGGAGCCTTTCTACGGTGTTAACGGAGGCAATCCATCTGTAGTTCTCGTACCGACTATGATCCCTTTTCCTCGACATCTTTTTGAGAAGTCCTTGTTTCCAGTCTGTGTGTACTCGTTCTTCCTCCCAACTCTTTTTTGCAGACAACGTGAAACACTCTTAGAGTTACTACTATGCCTGAATTTAGTGCTGTGACTGGTATGCTGTCTAGTCCTGCAGACTTACCATCTCTGATTTACCTAATGGTCCTGGTGTACTATTCTGTTGCTGGTGCGTTCAAATATACAAGGAGGTCTGTATGTTGCTTTAATGTTTGGTGGATTCATAATCTCTGGTATATTGAAGAGCTTTTCAAAGTGTTCGAACCACCTGTCCGTCTCCTCTTGAACCTCGGTGATTGATTTACCCCGTGTTATAACTCTGCTTTCTTACGGTTGATGGCCCAGCTATTCCTATTGCTTAGTATTCTCGGACACAGATTCACTCGACAAGTCCCCAAATCAAAACACGGTTGAACAGGAAAAAGATTATATTCCAAATAGCAAGTCAGAAGCACAATGGGGGAAAACGTCGGTATATTTATAGTTTTTACATAAGAAGATTCCAGAATATTCTCCGACTATCGACTAGTGCTGATTGGATAAGAATCAGCCAATCAGCGTGCACCAAAACAATCATGCATTGAGCATGCTTTAATCTAGTCTATGTCCCGCTAACACCTCCCCTCTGAGCAGATTCGTAGGATCTGGTGCTAGGGTCCAACTGCAACCGAGTGACTGGCCTGTGCTTTCGATTAGTCCATCGTCTAGGCAATAAAGAAGTATCACTCTTTTCTTGCACAGAAACTGATGTGTCTATTCCCGGCGTTTTGATTTCAAAGGTGTCTAGCAGAACATCAAGAGGTAATCGATATTGAATCTTGTTGCTGGCTATCGAGGTTGCTTTCAATTGGTTAGCATGACGTACCCAAACTTCCGAGCCAACTGACACCTCGTAAACCACACTCCCCTTCTTTTTCAAGATCCGACCAGCTGTCCATGTAGGATGTTTCCCACGATAGTCCATAGCAAGCACTTTTTGTCCCACCGTGAACAATCGTCTTTGTGCCCCATGATGTCGGTTAAACTGATTCTCCGTCGATAGGTTTCGTTGGGGTTCAATAGCTGGCGTAGGACGGATGACATCGGAATGTGTTCGTATTTTTCTTTTCGGTTTTCCTAGTAACCTATCACCTGTCTTCTTTGGAAGTACTGGGGTGTCCAATGATGAACGCGATACGTTACAGACACTGTTAATTGGTACATCCATTATTCCAAGTTTGTCTAACATATCTAGACCAAGAAGATCAAGGTTCGGCCGTTCTGTTAAGTAACATATTCCTGTACAGTTAGTTCCATTGAAGGAAAATTCACACTGTAATTCACCAACCAGTTTTAGCACACCAGCTGATGCGTTTTTAGCCGTTTTCTTAGATGGCTTCATTGGCGGTTTACCCAGCAAGTTATACGTTTCTCTAGACACTAAAGTGATATCTGATGCCGTGTCAATTTGAAGACGAGCTGATATGCCGTTTATCTGGATGGTAACATACTTTCTCCGAATGTCATAGTTTCTTTGAAAAGCAGCTACCAGAGAAAGAGATTTAGACTCGGCTGATTTCACATGTCGAGGACGTTTATGCTTCTTCTTAGGCTGAGACGTACGCTTCGGTGGACAATGACCTTCTTTATGTCCACGTTTGTTGCACTCCTGACATTTATGCTTCTTGAATGGACAGAATCGTGCATAATGCCAATCACCGCATAACCAGCATGCAGTCCTTGGTTTGTTACGAGTTGTTACCGGCTTCTGAACTTTTAACCTAGTAATAGTATTTACACTACCGCAGGTTAAATTAGGATTTACCTGTTCAATCAACTCGTTGTCGTGTCTGATGCTTTGTAGACGCTTACACTCATCTGTCAATGTTCAGAGTGTGACGTTTGGGTCTTGATCCAGTCGAGCTAAAAGTCTCGTCCTGATCTCAGCATCTTGTGGTGACTGAAGAGCTTTGATGAATATTAAGCATTTAAATTGGTCATCAGTCAACGAGCGTAACTTGAAACGTTCACATTCTCTGTTGACAATGTCTGCTAGAACACCATATTCATCAGCTTCGCGTTTCACCAAATTTAGACACCGATATCGAATACTAAACAACGAGGATGACTCGCCGAATATCTCTGACAACTGAAATACCGTCTCCTCGAAACTGAGCTCTCGAGGTAACTTTGGCAATATATGGTCAGCAAAACGTGCATGTTCACTGCTTCCCAACTTACGTACCAACAATCGGGTCTTCCACACATCGTCTTGGTTACAGAATTCTGTTCTAAATGTATCTTCCCAACGTTTGAACCACGTGAGAAAAGTATTTTCACCTTCGGGATCATAGATGAATTCTGGGATGCTGCTAGCAACTGCATCACAAGACGTACTTGAAATAGCATGTGAACTCGAGCTGTGAATGTTGAGCTGTTGAGTCAGGGTCTCTAACAACCGCATTTGTGCGTCAAGTTGTGCTTGCTGTTGTTGTAGTATTCGGTTAAGCTGGTCATCTGATATGGGCATCTTGAATTTGTTTTCCTTTTTCCCCGTCGCCACTGTTTTAACTCTGCTTTCTTACGGTTGATGGCCCAGCTATTCCTATTGCTTAGTATTCTCGGACACAGATTCACTCGACAAGTCCCCAAATCAAAACACGGTTGAACAGGAAAAAGATTATATTCCAAATAGCAAGTCAGAAGCACAATGGGGGAAAACGTCGGTATATTTATAGTTTTTACATAAGAAGATTCCAGAATATTCTCCGACTATCGACTAGTGCTGATTGGATAAGAATCAGCCAATCAGCGTGCACCAAAACAATCATGCATTGAGCATGCTTTAATCTAGTCTATGTCCCGCTAACACCCCGTCTCTTCCCGACCGTCTACTGTGGTTTACAATATTTGTCTGCAAGCGTCTTGTCTGTGTCCTATAGTTTTTTCATACTTTCTTCCTGTGCGGTTTGTTATGCTGTAGTTGCCAGGTCTTCCATATATTTTTGATTGTCGACCCTGATGATCTTCTCCACTCGTTTGTTTGCTTCTGTATATTCGACTTTTGTCTTGGCTTTCTTTAGTTTTGTTCGGTTGTTTTCGACTACTATCTTCTTGTGTTTCCGATTTTGAATCTTTGCCCGGGTATCGATATAAACCCACTCTTTGAGATGGTGCTTCGTGGGACCTATCACCTGGCATGTTCAAGTTATCGCCCTTTCATTCTCTTCCCAATTGTTTTTCATAGTGATTTCCTCTTATTGTAATAAATCTTGTAAGGCTTGGAACTTGTTTGTGAGAGCTTTCTATAACCTGTTGTCGAAGGGGAAGTGGTCTCGTGGCTTTCAAAAACTTGACTATTACCATGAGGCATCACAACTCCCCCATGTGACGATCGTTCAACTGCCAGAGAAATTTTGTTTGCTCTGATCAGCGATTTTGTAGCTGGGTTGTTGTTTGAGAGGTAAGGTTGCCAAATTTACATTCAAATTTGCACTACACATGTTTTAA